TTCCCAGTCCAAGCTGTCATGCTGATAATGATAAAGAATCACTTTTCCTACACTTTTGAAAGGACATTCTCGTTTACCTTTCCCTGCCGTGGTTTGCTCTAAGGTAAGTCATTTTCTAAATTGCTTTCCGCAGGTAAAAACATTGACTGCGGATGAAGGGCTGTGTTTAGGTTGATGATGGGAGAGTAAAGAGGAGTTAAGCCATTTTGGGCCATGCTACATGCAGGGGAGGCCCCTTGAGATGGGGCAAGATGGGACGCACAGCTGCAGGCAGTGCTGCTAGTTACCGGGACGGTGTCCTGCTTTAATGTGGATGTGGAAAGGCAACAACATCTGTAAGGTTGGTCCTGCAAAGGGTGTTTATTTTGTAACAACGCGAATAACAAAGCAGAGTGCTCTTTGCTTTAAATTCTGTTCTGTGAGAAAGTCCCCTGCAAAGTTAGTAGGACTCTGCATGAAATTTTTCTGGCCCCAACAACTTCAAATCATTTCAACTGATGCTTTAAGATGACTATAGCAGTATGAAATCTCTCTCTGAAGCCTCTTGCAGCAACTTATTTGCCCCAAACTTCAGGACTGTGCATGTTTATATAACTCTGTGTGCCCACAGAGATAATATTTTTTCTATTCTCTTGCACTATGATAAACATCTGTGCCATACAACACATTTGATTTTTCTAATTCTTGTGGCACATCTGGTCTGAGGAGGAGCAGGGCTGTAGGAGACAGCTCAGAAAAGTAGGTTCGAGGCTGCAAACATGCTGCTTGTGGTTGGATGTGATCCTGGAGGAAAATGAGAGATTTTATAGCCTGGATGTTGCTTTAGCATATTGTGTGGGTAAACAAGTAATCTGGAAAGAGAGTCCTAACTGCAGCTGCCATGGTAGCTGTCAGTCTGCAGCTGACAAAAAGAATCCTGCATGTCCTACATGCAGGGACAGTACTTAGAGGACAAACTGTTAGGGGACCTCTTTTGCCACAGATAGCTGAGGAGGCTTTTGTGTTATCCTGGATCCTGCCTGCCAAAGCAAATCCCATGATTGGAGACCATTGTACATTTCAGGTCAGGAATATTTTCTATGGAATTCTGGCAGTACTTTGAGGTATTTCTGGGTATCACTGTAGCACAGTTTGAAAAATGAGCCTGTTCCTCCACGCAAGGGTAGCTGTCGTGGCTTTACTGATGCTCCCATCCTTCTCTGGCACCTTCCTATTTCCTTTTCCTTCTCCCCTCTGGAATGCGTGTCCCCTTGCTCCCTCTACTCCATCAGCTCGGAAACTACTTGCCTGCTGGTGGATTTGCTCTCTTTCCAGTGAAAGTGGACTGTTGTAGCAACTCTGCAGGGCTCACAGGAGGAACGGTGATCATAAAGGGTAGGTGACATGAGATACATACAGTCCTTGCTGTCTCATATTAAACTGTGGCACATGTACCTGAGTGCTGGCATGTAAGCAGGAGAGATGACATTTGGGCAAGATGACCCAGAGCGGGAAGGGCACCTGGGCCAGGCCAATGTGAAACAATGCGGCGTGGGATAGTGGGAGGACTGCCAGCAGCAGAGCGGGCGGGAAAGCTCCCGTAAGAACCTGAAAGCAAACAATCTCGCTGCCAAGTAGCACTACTCCTGCTCCAAGGAGGATCACTTATTGCAGTTTGAATTATTAGCTCATTTGTTGTAGTAAAAGACTGTGTGGACGCAAGGCGCTGTGAGGGGACCAAAGTAAAATTACATCTGTGTGCAAAAAAAGGCCTGGGAGTATATTTATATCCCTGCTTTGCTATGGGACTGTTATTCAAAGTACAATATAAATCATTATGTAAAAATCAAAATGCCTTTGGTCTCCGCAATGTACCTGACATCAAAACACAGGTTCAATAAGTTAAGCAGAACTGCTAATACTTGATGATCAAGTAGATCTTCTGTGGTATCTCATTTATACTGCTCTTAATGTATGGGGCATTTGCTTTGGTGAATGAACTTAGCAATGTGTGATGCTTTCCCAGCACACAACCAAAGTACTGACTCAGTAAATCACTGGAACAAAATCACTGGTTTGGGGGACCCTTCCCTTCTTTCTCCATTTGCTGCACCTTCCCAACTTAAAGAAAAAATTAAGTGGAATAATTTACTTTAAAACCTGGACATTTTTTTCTGCGTCATCTGGCCCATTTAAAGTAGCTATACAAAACACATATCTAAAATCCTGCATTGTAAGATAGGGAGTCTTTATAAGGATATGCAACCTTTGTATGTGTGACTGGGGCTTGAGACTGCCCCCAAGCCATAGACTTCTTGGAATCTGGGGCCTCTTTGGTTTTCTTTCAGGCTTGAAAAACACACACTGGGGACTTTAGCATATACGCATAAATCTTGTAAGTTAAATATAGATTAATGGGAATCAGCAGGGAGTAAAAATACTCCACTTTTTATGGTAAACACCATAAAATATGGTAAATACTTAACTTCAGTTTTATAGAAAAAACTAAGTCCTGCCATCTTCACCCAGCACTCAGATCCCTCTTTTTTAGGCATTTGGCTTTCTTTGCAGCTTAAATTTTATTCCTAGTAAGCAATATTCTTTCCCCACACTTCCCTAAGTACGAAATACTTGTTTCGTACACCCTCGGTGAAGTCCTACTCACCAGTGAGTTCTACTAACAACTTCCCAACTAATAGCATTTTGATGTCTCAATTTGTATTCTTTGTTACACAAGTCCAGTCTGATTTCTTAATCTTTGCAGAAATGGGAAGTTTTTTGTAGGATTACGCCAGAGGGGGAGAAAAAGGAACAGAAAAGGACATAAGGTAATTTTCTAGGTAGTCTAAGCAGTCCATGAGTCAAGGTGGCATATGCTTGTAGTAGCTTAACTCCTAACAGTATAAATGTCTCACATCACCATAAAGTTGGGATCCTTAATGCCCATATCACCTTTGAAAATGCTGCTAAGGACTTAAGAAAAACGCTTTTGGTCACTGAGGCCAAGTTAAAAGACTGTACTCACAGCCCACCCACCGGGACACAAAAATGCACTGATTCAAACCTCTGTGCAGGTAATGTGTGGACTGCAGAGGCTGAACTGCTTAGAAGATAACCTCAGCCAGGCTAGGAGAAAGGAAAACGAAGATAATGGAAAAGGAACAGCTATAATAACCATCTGCAAGCACACATGGCCTCTACTTCAGCACCCATAAAACTTAAAAGGATAAAAGAAAAGGAAATTGCTTTCAAAATAGCAAACAATTTTATAAACATTTCTTCTTATGCTTTTATAGGGTGTTGGACTTGTTGCCCTTTTTCTGGTATTAGGTGTGCTGCATGTATTAGCTTTTAGCGTGAAGAGAGGTATATTCCAGGGAAGTCTTTGCTTCATTTTCCATTCTACCCTGCACATGCACACATATTAGTTTAAAAGTTTTGAGTTTTGGGGTTTTTTTTGTTTGTTTGTTTTTTTTTCCTTAAGCAGCCCTATTGTAATGGTCACTTGGCACTTCAGCCAGCCCACGGGTGCCAGTGGTATTGTCCTGCCTATCAAATCAGCTTGCATTGCCTGGGCTACGTTTCATCCTGTCCCACGGCTGTGAACAGGGATCTGTCCCAACACCGAGCGGCTGTGTGGCTGTACAAAGCCACGATCCCATTCGAAATAAAGAAAGAAATCCAATGGTGACCACAGTGGCTTCTCTGGACTAGGCTTAGGTTTTGCCCTTTTGCAACCAGCATAGCTTTGGGCTATCAATAGCTTTATAGCTATTACAAGTCCCATAAGCAAGGTTTCAACTTAAAACATAAAAAACTTAAAACATAAACTATGGGTTGACTGTCCCTCTTTTGGACTGCAATGCCAAATTACACACTCGTGTCCCTCCTAAGGCTTCTTTCACTCTCACAGTGGTACTAAGGCTCTTTTCTTGTAACTGGACTGGATCCCGAGCCCAAGCCACAGTGCAGCCCCAGCACAGCCCCGGGAGCAGCCCAGAGGTGCCGCGGTTGGGAGCTGCTCGAGGAACCCCAAAGGTGCTGCGACAGAGGACCTGGGCAACCTGCGGCAGTTTTAAACGTGTGGAATGAAAACCTGCTCTGTTGCCTAGTATGTATCTTCCTAAAGAACTTAATGGAGCTAAAAGGAGAAATTCGCTGCAACCTAAGAGTCGTTTGGGCCTTTGAATCTCATCCCGAGTTTTGCAAACTTTTAGTCATTTTAGAAGAGCTGAGCCGAATTCAAATCCCGAATCACACCGGGTGCAAGTTGTTTCTCTCCTAGGAAAAGAGAACATCAGTGTGTACTTCACAACTTTCAGCTGCAGGTTTCTCTCTAGCCTAGACATGAGCCGTGCATAAATTCAGAGCTCACCAATTACTATGGCTTTATCAAGAACCTTATTAGTGATCACTAAAAATAATCTTCCTTAGAAGGGGGCTGCTATGTGCAAAGCCCATCTTTCCTATTTACTTTGTGCCTATTAATGTTTTTTTTAATGTTTATACATTAGTGCAAGGAATAGTGTTAGCATAATTCTAGTGTAAAATAAAATCAGCTGTATCCATTATAAGTGCATTACTGCCAGGAACTGTAAATATGTTTATGCCTGATAGCCTTTTGACTCAATAATATCCTGCTATCTCTGTTGGGCAGGCAAGTTTTTAAACCAAGAAAAGACAGGTTATGATTTTCATAACCAAACTGTGTTTCTTTTTGAAGTATATTATCTAAATTCAAATTTTAAGAAGGTCATTAAAAAAATCTGCCTGTGATTTTAAAGGAGAACAATTGAAATGTCATCTTCAAAGTGGTGGCAAGAAGGTACAATGTGCACTAAGAACAAGTTATTCCTCCCAGATATACACATACGCAGACAAACCCTGCCATATCATACCATACAAACAATTTTAATTGTGTAGTTACAGTCAATAACCACTCCTAGTCAGAACATTTCTGCATAAAGAAAATTGTGATACACTTATAAAAACAGCCAGCTGTAACAAAATAACTGGTGTTTTCATAGCAATAAACTCATAAAAAAGAAATACACCTTTATACAGAAAATTTATACAGCTGTAGCTTTAAAATTGATTGTAAACCAAAGGAAGACACATTGCAAACATCAATTATTTTCACATTAATTGCATAAGTTTCTAAGGTGATCTATTAGTTTTATTTACCTAAGCTTATTTGCATGATAGTAAAAATTGCATACAACAATAAGAGTGAAGCTTATAGTATGAATTGCTTGGATAACATAGAGCACTTTTTATAGGCAACTGTGTAAAGCACATTTTCTCTATTTAAAACTTTTAAGACACTTTGTTTTACTGCCCATCAAAATACATTTATAAATAGAAAAAAAATCAGTATGATAACAAGAGAAGCAATATTACATTTAACGGAAACTTCCAAAAAAATTAATTACAACATGATGCTGCAGGATCTACAAATAAATAATGAGGACTAAATTGTGTTTCACATTTTCTTTTTCATTTTCTTTAAAACCATGTAACAATGAGAATGGAAAAAAAAAATACAGTGACCTTTATTTCCAAAAGAAAACAAATCTGAATTACGGCAGTGCCATATAATACAAGGCATTTGTTGGCATATGTTATCTTTAAACTGCATTCCACAGTCTATAGTTCTTTTGTAACATACAATAGAACAAGAGTAACAAACTCTTTTTTTATTTTATTTTTTTAAATAAATGTGAGTTTCCAAAGATCAAGTGTGGAGTGCTACAGTAATAATTAAAAAACAAGAACAAAACAGAAACAAAAAACAGTAAATCACAAAAGTTGTAATGCTTGTCTGAAGGCTCCAGAATCAAAATCACTGGTATCATGCTTATTGGGTACACTCACAGTGTATCCAGTGAACACAAATTAATATCAAACAATCCTCAACGCTTCATCTGTTGCTGCGAAGCAGTTTGTAAAACAGAGTAAAACATCTAGTGCAGTCTGCATTATCCTTTTTTCAACTTTTGTGCAAGTTTTGGAAGATTCATTGGCCAAACAATGAATAATAAAGGTTTTTGACAGAACGCAAGATGGAATTTTCATTTCATTAGTAAATACCAGTGGCACTGTTGAGAGAAAATAATACTTTTAGATCAGTCTTTCAATTCAGCATTAATCTCTGTGTTCCCTTCTACCGATAACTCTTCTTCTAGTTTAACTGAAAAAAGTGTGTTTGCATTTTTGTCTTGGACGCTGTCTTCTAAATCCTTGAGCAACTCTTCTTCTTTGTACTCTGCAACATCCACCTCCAAACCAGAATTGTCCTTCAGCTTCCCATGGTGCTTGAGATAATATCGCTGGTTCTGAAAGAACTTGATAATGGTGTACTTGGGCAGGTCAAGCTGAGCGGAGAGAGTCTGGATTGCTTCTTCATCTGGATACAGGCCTACATCTTGTATGAAACTCTGTAGGATCCCTAGGGCTTCAACAGAAATCTTTGTTCGTGGTCGGGGTTTCTGACGATTTTCATCCTCAGATTCAGCTGGTGATGCTACTGTCGGTTGCCTTGGGGGTAGTCTGGGACCTGGTTGCTGTTGCTGTTGTTGTTGTTGCTGTTGCTGTTGCTGCTGCTGCTGCTGCAAGACAAAGCACAGCATTTTTTTTGTACGTGTATTCTTGCTCATATTTTGTGTTACCAAGAAAATCCAGGGGGGGAATTGCAAAGCTAAAAACAAAGGCTTAGTAAGTTTAAATGACAAAAAGGAAAAAAAAAAAAGGAAAAAAAAAAAGGCCCATTATTGCTGAACCAGAATTAAAATATGAGTTAGTACCTCTGCATATCTTGCATGCGCCTGTATGTGTGTGAGCAGAGATGAGGGATAAAGGGACGGTGGGACATGGACAGAGAGGTGGAAGGAAGACACTGGCTTTGTCTGACTGAAAGCGCCGATGATGAGACATCAGTGCAGTTTAGCTGACAAATTTTAATGAACATGCTCCATGAGTCAAGTGCAGACAAGACAAAATGCTAAGTAGGTGACATAGTATAGGATTAACTTGACCAGCTTAGCCAGAACTGTAGCAAGGGCAAAGTGAGAAAAGTGCCAGATGAGGGCAAACGCACAGGAGCTCTGCCAGCAGCAGCAGCTGCTGCCCAAAAACAAGGGCTGCAAATCTCCAGCAATAGCTAGACTAGGGGACTGGGGGGATCAGGGAGAAGGAGAGCATTTTAGCTAAGTGTGGAAATATCCCACTGCCAATCTGACCTTAGCACGCACTGAAGTCTCGTCAAACTTGCAAACGTTACAACAGAATGCGTTAGCTGGAAGCGCCTAACGTCACGCTGTCAAACCCAGCCTCAGCAAGGACAAAGAGATCTGGAGGTAGGAAATATGTATTTCCCCTTCTGGCTCTGACCTCTCTTGCCTGCCGTCTCAGAGAGGGTCTGTCTTGCCTGTGTTCAAGTATCCCAACGTATAAACAGGGAACAAACATATTTACCTGCTTCTGTGTTTGTGCTGGGGATTGTTTAGTTAATATTTATAAAGCACTAAGATGCAAAGCTCTAAATAACTTGCACTATTATTATTAGAAGGGAACATGCTGCATTCCAAAAACTCAGGCAATAAAAATGAGCCAGTATGCACATCAGAACAATAAGATAAAGCAAATCATGATGTAAATAATTAACAAGAGCTTAAAATGAAGTTTTGCAAGCATAGATTCAGAAACATTCTTAAAAGGTGAGGCACTGAGCCCCAGGGACAGAAATGTTTTTCTCATCTACCACTGGAATACACTACATTATAAGATCACATTTAAAATCAAAAGTAAATTTATCAGCTACTGTTTTTGTTGACAATTCTTTTGCTTCACAGCACAGGAAGCACTGGTTAGTAAGATATTTTGGATCAGCAAATTTCTTGTCATATGGTACAAACCACCAGTTATTATTAAAAAACAACAGCAGCAAAACAAGCAGTTGCTATCACTACATTTCATTTCCCTTTGTGAGTCTCCCCTTGACAATTTTTTGTGTGCCGGTAGTGGTTTCCAAGCTTCCAGTCGCAGCTGGCTTGCAGACCCTAAGAAGCACAAAACACTGTACGAATAGTAGAAATAATGGAGGAATTATAATTCTGTCCACTTCGCGGTGTCACTCGTGGTTGTGGAGACTTTGCATAGGTCTCAACACCCACTTTAGAAGCCACTGCTTTAAGTGATCTTCTTATTCCAAGATCTGACACAAATGCGAGTGGAATTGGGGCTCTTTCCTCATCCCTATTCACATCCTTTCATGTTTTATGGTCTGTGAGCAGTCCCATTCAAGGCTTCAATCCCAAAGAGATTCAAGACTACTCCCAGCACATTAAATTCTTACAAGACTGGAAGCTTTGTATATACAGTTTGAAAACTGGTGTCTTAGCTACACATTTATGCATCTACAACAACTACGATGTAGAAGAGCAGAGACAAAACTCAGGCCCAATCTCCCATCCTTACTCTTACAAGTCACATTAAGAGATTACAATGCAACTGCTTATGTGAATAATATTTGCAAGATCAAACACACAACTTTTATCAACAAGGCAAGAAAATCTAAGTAAGTGGCATAGTGGTTGAATGTTTATACTGTGCATAAGCTTCTCCTTTTATCCCCTTAAGAAGCGATTTTATTAAAAACAATGTACATTTTCAAACAAGTGCTGTTTTATTACTTAATACAGATCTTTCTCTCTCTTTTTGCTAAATCAAACAGCAAGTTTCCAGGCTTTCACAATTATTTTAGTACTTGATATCCTAAGGGATTGTCTTATTCAGTTTGCTTTATCTTTAATATACACTCATGTTGTTTCTGGCTGCAAGATAACTCTATCCTTCCTAGCTTTGTAAATATTTTTCTGTATAGGTAATACAAATGATACACTGGGTCTCAGCTGAGGTTGGGAAAGCATGGGGTAATATCTGCCCTTTAAGAGGGAGCAGTTAAAAGGCTGACCTCAGGTCTTTCGTGCGAAGGGATTAAAGAGTCCCCAGCTCAGACAGACAGCAAGTCCGCGCTGACGATCTGGGCTACAATATTTAGCAAAACAGCCAGCCACGCTCCCGGTTCGCGGTGCCCATGCGAGCAAAGGGTGGGTGCAGACCCCAGAGGAGGGGGCACCGCCCGGGCTGCCCCGGAGCGGAGGGCAGCTGTTTCCAAGCCCCGTGGCGTGGGTCCTGCATCCCCTCCTCTCTCTCCCTGACACAGTGCCCTTGTGCCAGCTCACCTGTGGAGCAGCACCCAGCCAAGGTCCAGCGGTCAGCAGGCCTGGTAAGAAAGCGCCTCTATGCTCTCCTTTCCCAAGGGTGGTGGGAGAGGGGCTCTGAAGGAAAAACAAACAAACATTGACTCACCCCAGCCTCGACTGGAGTTAAAGTGGGATGAGGAATCCCCTTCCCTTCACTCCTAACCCAGGGCGAGCCGCTGCTGTTGAGGGTTCGAGCTTAGCTTTTGAACAGCAGCGCAACAAGGTCCTCCCACTTTGCTGGTAAGGTGTTTTGACAACCAGTGCCAAACGCCTCTGCCTTTCAGTCCTGACACCTGTCTAGCCAGGGACGGCCAGCACGCAGGCTTGCCCTGCCCGGCACGCAGGTGCCACTGCGCCACCGCGTCCACGCACGTGTGCAAAACACCACCGAACCGAAACAAAAACCGTGGGTGGTCGCACGCTCTCCTTTGAACTCCGGTGGCGGATGGCAGCGTGCTCTTATCTCGTACCGGGAGACCTGCATTTAGCCTGGCCGGGAGGAAAGAAACACTAATTTCCTTTGCTCCGTTTAAAGCTTTATTTACTTAGCGCTCTGTGGGATTGGCCAAGGTAAACTAACCTGAATCTGTTCTGCTGGCACATGGATAATGTGGGAAGGCCTGTCACCATGGTGATGAACTGCATTGCTTTCTTGTTCATAAATGGCATCGCGTTCAGGCTGAGGAAGACTGAGGAACCTTCGGATCATGGAGAGATTCTCCCAGAGGGTCCTGTTCTCTGGTGAGGGATCTTCTTTCCAACGTAACAGCTCACAGAGCCACCCCTTGAAGATAACACCAGCAAAACATTAGTTTTTTTCCTTACTTCACCAGGGGCAAAACGAGGGCGAAATGGGTACATTAGCGGCGCTGCATTCTCTCACGCTCTCCCCCAGTAAGAAAGGGCTTTCACTGTAAAGGCTGGGCTTAAAGCAAACACTGGTACACTGAGAGGCTGCCACACTATTTCACAGACCCTCGCCAACTGTGAGCGTTTTGGAAAGAACCTTCCCCTTGGTCCCACACTGTTGTTTGTTTGCTTAGAAACAAACTGGTTGATGAAGTCAGATTCGCTTACAAGCTCCCCTCCGCAGGACAGGGGTTCCACTGATGCCAGTATATTCTCTCTGCTGCCTATTTTCTTCTATGCAAGGCTACACCCATCTGAGAGCATCGACACTGTGTTTCAGGAGCCGGTAGATTGTCTGCTGAGCAACTTTTAAAATCCTGGTACTACTACTCAAAACAAGAAAGTACTTCAAATATCCGCCTTGACTGTACGGCTGCCTCACGTAAATCATAGCAGTAGCGGAGCTCCCTAATGTCCTTTCAAAAGACAGGAATCCTTTAACTAGATGCAGTCAAGTAATATCTTCTTCCTATCTGCTACAAGTAGAGGTGCCTCTGCAGGTGAACTTATTTCAAGTAATAGATGATTATCTGTTTTGGGATTTTTCTCATAGACCCAGAAAAAAACAGTCTCTCAGTTTTATGTACACTATTAGGGCTTGAGGTGGAGCAAGATATGCTCAGAGGTTCTGATATACTCTTTATACCATTTCCATAACACAAGACAGCAAGTTGCCCAAGACTTTGCCTACTCTAATTCAGACATGGTTTTGGGATACATCCAATGAAGCTGGCTACAGAATCCCCTGCAAGAACTGCAGCGGTTGCTAATTTGCTTCCAAAAGAGATATAAAAGTTCATCTTGAAAATTTAACAACTGTTTTCTTATGTCTTCTTAAAATTTAATTGAGGATTTTTTTCTTAATTGTGCACTGGTAGTTTTAAAAGAAGAGTGCAAATGCTCTAGCTAACACAGTGTGCATCAGCAGCAATTTTTCTGTATATTAAAATTTAGAAACAAAATATTACTTATATAAAACATGCATACTTCCATTCTTTTAGCTTCAAGGATCTGTTTTCAAAACTAGGCCCATGCAATTTTATTTCTTAATGCTGTAGGAAAGATAACGTGACATTTTATTGAATCAACAAATAATATAAATGTACAGAAGCTTTTAGATCCTTTTTATATATACTGCTCGTTGAAAAACGGTTTATCCAGACTAGTTTACTACTAGATACAATAGATACATAGATACAATATAGATATGTATTTTCTTGAAGACATTCATATCTTTAGCTAAGTTAATAAATGCAGTGTAAAAATATTGCCATGATAGGAAGAGGTGAAAGTAAACAAATAATCTTAATGCAATTCATATTGTATAAGAAAATATTTAGTGAGGTGTGTATAAAAATTTGAAGTATATTCTCTTGGATATAAGTGGAAAACTGAACAAATGACACAGGAGAAAATGCCCCCAAGAAACAGAAATAATCAAAATGACAAATGTTAGAGAAATGGTGGTAGCAGAGCTGAGAAAGCAAAAATTTAAATGGGGCTACAGTCTGCCAGGTGCTCACCAGGTGTGCTAGGGAGGGAGGGGAGAGAGAGGAAAATGGCAGCAGCAGAAGGGCCCCCTTGCACCTCAGGGATGGAGCGCACCCCATTCCTTGACCACATGCTAAGGGTGGATGCCGGGTATTGCCCCAGGGCTTAGGAAGCTGGGCCAAACACCTTCATACAGAACACATAATGTACAGCCTGTCCCAGATGGAATCGTATGGCATGTTTTTAAAACAGTAGCAAGGGTCTGTGAATTCTTCCTCCCCATTGTAAGGCACCCTGGGACGCATTAGCAGGTTAATTATGAACTCTCCCTGCCCCTAACAAAATCAACATGTTGTTCGTGCTTCTCTGCCCACCTTGCTTCCACAGGGATACGTGCTGGAATATGCTCAACAGCAGTATTAGTTTTCTGCAGCAAGTTAAAAGATGTGCAATCAGAAAACAGGTAGGTTGTTGGGGATGGAGGGGAGAAGAAGATGAAGAGAAACAAATCTAGATTTTTTGATTGAAATGCAGTTATAAAATTTTTAATTAAAAAAAAAAAAAAAGAAAAAAGAAAACAGCCTGCCCTGAAGCATAAAAATTGTCCTTTGGTTGTCTGGAGTCTGCACTGCTTCACATTGAAACTGTTGGTCCTCTTCCTAATGGTGGTGAAACAGAGAGCAGAGCTGACTATCACGGCAGTTCAGTGAAAGTAAAAAAAAGACAAGACAACCTGTCCCCTCCCATGACAGCTCTCTACGATATACAAACAAACTGGAAAAGAAATTGCACCACTCATTTAGCAGCTGCACACATTTTGTCTGGTGACCACATGGATCACAGATTTTTTTGGAAAAAAGACAGTGGAAACTCTTTTTAAAAGTCCAGTAGTAAAAATAATTCCCAAGCAATCACATTTTATGTTGATTAAACATATTTCATAACAACAGTTTTTGTTAACTAAGAAATCCCTTCTCCTCTTACTGTCTTTTCTGTTTCTGTGTTTACTAGATCAGACCTTATTTTTATTAATTAACAACGACTAACATTGTATTTCCAGGATTTTTCTATCCACTTTTGCCTTGAAATAATACTTCTAATTCCTTATCTAAAAACGATTTGATGAATTGTAACCTGAAGCATGTCTCTGCTAGCCTTTCAGGGAAGCAGCGATTCTGAGATACTGAAATCAGATGCTTCTGACATGGTACACAGAATAGACTGCTATTCTACCAAAATGTCTATTTTCCACTGGGTTCTTCATGTTTTTAAAGAAGTAGACATACTCTGATGAAACATATGATGGGCAATGTGGAAACAACCAACTGAATTCTTCTAAAATTGCAAGGATAGAAACAATTTTTTGGTCCTGAAATGGTTTATTTCTGGAAATATTTATGAAAGTTGACCTCAGAAATATTCTCAGGAGAGATAGTGAATGGGCAGTTACAGAGGCTACAGGGGTTTGCTTTGTTAGAAGACTACAAATTTTATACCAACAGGCTTTCTTTTGGTTCAAAGCAAACAAACAGAACCATAGTTATTTAATTCAGTTTCAGGTTGAGAATTCTGTATCTGACATAAAGGTCATTCATGAAAGTCAACTAAATGAGAATGTATGATTTTTTGTTTTTGTAAATTTTAGGAAAAGTAATCATACAGACTTTTCTAGTGGCAAATTTTAAGTTATGTAAAATTTCTAAGTTTTATTTCCATTTGATCTAAAGAAGTATGAACTGCTGTAGTTAATGCAGTTGAATTTACAAGTGAACCTAACAAGGCTGATTTTTCTCCTCTTACACTCATTTAAATCTAGAGCAATTTTTCTGTCTAGTTCAAACAATTTATTCTGACGGAAAGCTTGGACCACTGTTTTTTCATGTCTTTTATAGTCTTACAGGAAGTGGAAAGGACCACAAAATAATAAGGAAATATTTATAACTCAGATTAGATCACAACTGGTTTATACAACATATATAGTATATCGTTAAAAAAACAGCCTTAAAATAATTAAGCCGATACATCTATGCAGCAAGGCAAACCCCCCAAAACTCTGCAATGACATTGGGAACAACCTTGATTTTAAAACAGAGTAAATTTGCCAAGCAACATTACACTGAATATAAAGAGAGTACAAAGCAAAATATAAACATTAGCCACATGTAAATATGTTTGGAGAACTTTCAGGATGTTACTACTTTTCAAACTGACAAAGTTTAATTTGACACCTTCTGTTCTAAAACCTTTGTTTCTATTCAAAATCACGCCTTTAGCTGCTATCAATCACTATGCTCTCCCTATTACTTAAAATACTGGCATGGGCCCTGGATAAGCTGAAAATGCCATGCAGATGAATTCTGAGATAATATGTTCAAACCTGTTATATACAACACAAATCCTGTAAAGTTATGTATTGTAAACCTACATTTATTGGGAACTAAAAGTCTTAAATCCATCTGCTACAAAGAAAATACTGTTACGCACTTTCAAGTAACCAAGTACCATCTGCAAAGGTCTTGCTACAGTAAGCAAGAAAATGGTGAAAAAAAAAAAAAGATGCTAAACCTAAGATATTTAAAATAAATAAGAGTCTTCTGTCTGGTTTTCTGATAGGGATTTAGTAAAGAAACATAAGACATTAGAGGAAAAAAAAACTGTGAAAGCCGAACTGCCAAACTATTGCAGGAAAAGCGCAAAGAGGATAACTGCCAAACATTAGACTCTGCAAGACCCATGAGCATGCTTATTTTAAAGAAAGCATCTATGTATTTTATCTATGCATCCAAATGGTATTTTATTCAGTCTGACCTGTGCTGTGTTTAAATAAAATCTGTGCTTTCACATAGAGTTTCTAACAAACTATTCTTGCGTTCTGGTATCTTTCTTATTAAAAGGAAAAAAAAAAGGTAATTGAAATCTGCACTTAAGGTGTAAATACCAATCCTAACTAGATCAAAGAGGGTAGCATTACAATCACGAAAGATGTTTTCTGGGCAAGGCTTTCCAAATCAGCAACAAACACATCTAGTCTGGGAAGAAAGGGCTTCAAGGTGGAGCAACTGAACTCTTTTGTTTGGTGAATTCGTTATAGTGATAAGAATTTGCCAAATGATGAATAAAATAAGTAACAAAGACTCCAACACTTTTTAAAAGAGCTGTAATTTGAATCTAAGAAGGCAAGACATTTTAGAGTATCAATGCTAAGATACGAACAGTTCTTTGGTATAGTATATCTAAGATTATTTTTATCATTCTCTGGGGCATATAGTATAATAAAAATATATGGTATTAAAAGAAATCAGTCTAAATAGGGAGGTATTTGATACAAACATTTTAGCAGAAAGTGTGAATTGCATTTCAGCATCTACTGTGAACAAAGACTAA